GCAGCCCCGCCCCCGTGCCCGCCGCCCACGCCCGCCCCGCGCAGAGACACAGACACACAGACACACACAGAGACAGACACTCACAGAAACAGAGACACAGAGAGACAGACAGACACTCACTCAGACACTCAGACAGACACACTCCAGTCCTGGGACGCAGCCCAGGGCCTTGTTGGGGCAGCAGCCGCTCTGCCCCAGAGCTGCATCCCAGCTCCATCCTGTTCATTTCCATCTCATTCTTTCCAGCACTAACACACCTTTCACGTGCCTAACTAAATTTTAAAGGCCTAACGCGCTGAGGCCCGAAGATTGAAACACAGTGCATGTATTTATTTTCTCCTCTCCTGAGGACCCCCACACACAAAGATACTCTTAGATACCTTTTCCCAATAATGGAGCTTTAAAATGCTAGTGAGGGGTGGGAAGGTGGCTCAGTGGTAGCTGCTCGCCCAGCCCTGGGTTCCTCAGTACCACAGACACAGACAAAGCTGCAAATGGCGCTGTGGCTCAAGTGGTAGCGTGCTAGCCGTGAGCACAGAGAAACTCAAAGACAGTGCCCAGGCCCTGAGTTCAAGCCCCCAGATCAAGAAGAAGAAAAAAAAAAAAAGCTAGTGAAAAATGGCTACCACCACATAATGAAACATGTCATTTGCTATGCATTACATTATTCATAGTGACCACCTGCCCAAGAGATGTTAATGAACCCTAAGCTGGGGATTCCATTCTAGGAAAGCCAGTTAAACTTCACTTAATTTACTAGCCAAAGATCTCCGACCTTCGTTCTCCCCATGAACTTCATACATCTTTGCCACAGAGGAGGCAGTCTAACTAGCCAGGATCCACATATTTGAGGACATAGAATCTCACAAAAGCCTTCACCCCTATTATTGGCAGTTTATTACATGCTACACCACACTGAAGCAATCTTCAGTATCCATTTTAGCCTCTAGAAGAATCATCTGTGCGCTGAAAGTGCATTTCTCCAGTAATGATGCGTATGGCTTTGGTCTGCATCGACTCCAGTCAAGGCATTGACAGGAAGAGCTATAGAGTCGAGGTAGCTGACTGCTAGCTACCATCATATTTAAGAGAAAAACGCGCGTGTGCTTTTTATTGACATATTTAAATCGCACACTTCTTTTTACAGACAACGGGGCAGCTGGTAGTGTTAAGTAATAAACCTATGAACAGGAAGGACTTCGAGGCATATATTGCTTTTGGTTTGGTGCCAACAGGAAAGATGCACATTTGATAGTAGTTCTTTTTTTCTCACATTTGCAAGTGATTATCATTAGTGAGGATCTTTATCACAGCCACAATCAGCTACTAAGTTTCTATATACTTTCTTTTCAAAGACTTGGAAGCCACATCAAAATGTTTAAATCCAGGCAAGTATCTTAGTTGCAATTCCCTGTGGATGAACACAGGTGTCTCCTCTTCCTCTGCCTCCTCCTCTTCTTTCTCCTTCTCTTCCTCTTCCTTTCCCTCCCCACCCACCCTTCCTCTTTTTTTTTATGCCTTGCATTCAGAGGATTACATTACAAGGTTAAAGCTAACAAGTCACCCTGGCTCAGAGTTCAAAGCCTAAACCACGCAAAGGGGCATGTAGCCCACGTGTCCCGAGGTGCGGGGATCGGAGCGCACCTGAAGGACCTGGGCCGCACAGTGACCACCTGCCCTCAGGTATTCATCTCCACCACCAACAATTGGACTTGTTCATCTTTCAAGAGTCTGCAGCTGGAACAGTAGAACAAAGCAAGAGTTCAAGCCACCAGCAGAACCAAGGCTCATTTCTGTTTGCCTCCAGGTCAGCCTCTGCTTAATCATGAGTGTATAGGTCAGCCCTTGCCAGCTCTTTTTTAAGTTCCATTCTCAGTTGAAGGAAGCCTCCCCCCACACACACACACAGAGAGAAAGAAAAGATGCAAATCATTTCCAGGCAGATCTCATGGACTTCAAGTTCACGGCAAACACTAATAGCATTTTTCTGTTTGTTTCTAAGTTCTGTTCTGAAAAATACTGTGTCAACACCTTTAGGAAGTGTGTTCTGTTGCTATGGCATACTGAAGTTCACTGTCCCTGGGAGGTGGAGCTCACCCATTCCCCGCAGGTTTTCCTTTGGGCCAAATGAGATTGAAGTCCAGTGGCTTATGAAATTATACTTAACCAGGTAAGTCGAACTCAGGCTAAACTCGGTGCCTTTGGGGTTTTTTTCTGCATTTTAATTTTTCCTGCAGTTCCATAGCACAGATTTGTTGAAGCTGCTGTTGGCAACCACCTTCCCCGACTCGCTGCAGTTTCGGCGATTGCTGGTGGAGTAGGTGGGCACAGGGTGGGAAAGGAGACACGTGTCGCTTTGTGTCACTGACGTCAGGTGTCAGAGCGACACTCACTTTAGAAGGTGAAGAATCACGTGGATGGGAGCCCAGGGTGTGAAGCGCCCCCCCCCCCCCCCCGCGTTCATCTTGTCTCCAACAGTCTGTTCTGAGCTCAGCTCACCTCTGGAATGTCTGAGCTGGTGAAATCTCCTTCCCACAGCTCAGGGAACCTGACAAAGCCAATCTTACTTCTCCGCAGGAGGAGGGTGCGTAATTTTCAGTGGAATTCAGAGTTCCTGTGCCTCGGGAAGCCATCTCTCCTTTGAGGTTTCTTTCTCTCTCTGTGTCACTGCTGCGCCAGCCCTCACGGCAGAATGTCCTGCGCTGTGTCTGGGGGGCTTGCGGGGCTGCGAGTGACTCCCGCTGCTTTTCCTTGAGATTCGAAAAAGAATCAGATTTTAAATTCTACCCACCGCATACGTACAACCTAGGATTTAGAGGAAACAAGCAGGTTAGTCCAATGGGTCCATAGACCAGTGTTTTGTTTTGTTTTTAAAGGAGAAAAATGGCAGCCTGTCCTTCTTCTAATAGCCAGCTTTTCAAATTGCTGTCAAGTGCACTGAAAATCCAGTGCTGGTGGCTGTTACCATTGCAGGAAACAGTAGAAAGGGACAAATCTGGGAATTAAAAGTAACTTCCGACACAAACTCTGTGTCTGGTTCTCTATTTCAAATTGACGTCATTTCGGTTATCCTGGGTTCAGTGAGGCTGGCTGGGCATTGGTGCATAATGATGTGCATTTTCAGATGAGGCCCGTTTGAAGCTCTTGTGTCTTTAATATTCAAAATTTATGGTTGGCAGCTGAAGGGAGAGCGTTTATTCTTAATTGTCCAGCAGTAACATTATGTTTCCTCTAGAAGGAGCTCAGAAATGTTTCCCCGAACTCAGCGCTGATGGTGATGACGCCAGTGTCACCGGTATGCTCTGTTCTGTTCGTTTTCCATGCATTAACCCATCTAGTCCTACAGAGGCCCTGTGCTGTCAGAAGTATTATCATTCTTCATAGTTGACAAATGAGTTAACTAAAGCATGGAATCAAGAGACTCCTTACCCTCAATTCTCCAGTCGCCTTGGGGCTACACCTAGGGCAGCTTGAAATGCAGCAATCTGCTTTATTTAAATAAAGGAGACAATGATACCGGTAGCAGCAAGACCGCTGTCACAGCCCTTTGCAGCCTAATCCACCAAATGACACTTGCCATGTTCTGTTCACTGGAAGCTCACCCCTAGGCTCAGCTCGCGGTGGAGGAGAGGCAGCAGCCCAAAGGCGTAGAAGCAAGAGGTGGAGATCACCGGATCGCCTCAAAGCCTCCAAAGCCTCTGCCCACACAGTCTGACTGCAGACCCTGCCCAAGACTTGGCCAAGAGAGGAGCAGGAAGCTGCGTCAACAAACAGCACGGGTGAGGAGGGCCAGCGGGCGGGCAGTTCCAGCCAGGATCTATGCTGGGTAATCCCGGCCACTGGAGCCTGGGGAGTTCTGTTTCCCTCCCTGGCAGCCCAGATACTTTCTCCCGCCTGGACCACAGAGGTGGTCAGTAAGGCTTTGGGAGCAGTGACCGTTCCTCACTCCTGTCTTACAGTCTTACTGACCCTCTTCTTCCTCCCCCAATTTCACATGTTCCTGTCACATTTCCCTGCTTTTGTTCTGGCCAGCTTTGGCCTGAGCTAGTCCTTCAGGCACCGTCTCCAGAACTTTCCTGACACCACATACCCTCAACAATCCCCTTCTATTTTCTGGGCTCTCAAGCAATCGCCAGCTAGCAGATCATTCTGTTTTAATCCTCCTCTCTAGAACTTCATTATGTTCTTTCTGAAACAGGAAGCAAACTGCACCCTGGGGTGACTGGCTGGCCCCAGGGATTTTGTGCCCTTGCAACTTGAGTGCAGTTCTTTTTGCTAGTGACCAAGCTCCATCAGAGCTGCCTGTGGTTTCTACACCTTCTTGATCTTCTATAGATCATGGCAGGGCCGTGAGCATGTTCAAGAAGTGTTAATTCAGTTTGTCATACAGTCCAAGCAGTTTGGAGGGGCTCACCCTCTCTTAGCCGGTTATGTCTGCCGTGTGAGTCTAACAGGTAGGGCCCGAGACAGGAGAAAGGTCTGTCCCCCATGCAAGGAGCCTGAATATTCAGCCTACAGCCTTTCCTGGGGTCCTGACATCACAAAATCCAGCAGCTATGGGGGCTTTTCTTTTGTTGGAGAAACTGTCGGGAAGTATTTTTTTTTAACCGAATAGGCTCTTAAATGCCAGATTTATAGTTGGAGATGTAAAACCCAAGGTATACAACTTGTATACACACTCTCTATTTTAGTACACTGTTTAAGGGTCTTAGAGTGTGGCTGCAAATGCTGACTCAGTGTTGATCTCACATCTTTGGTGTCTGTGAGAACTCGAGCTAATGTCTTATGGCCTACCAGCTTTAGTTCTCCCTCCTGTGACATGAAGTAATACTACTACCTGGAAGGATTGTGGTGATATCACATTGTAATGAACTATGCCAGGTGGTTAGTATGTCATCTGACATGTGAAAATGCTGGAAAAATTAGCTCCTCCTCCTACTACATATTGAATACTTTTCTCTGTTGGGAAGAATAGAGGAGCTGAGAGATAGACTTCCTGTTCTTATTTGGTAGTCAATATTTAATATGCAAAGCACTGGAGAGACCAAGTGTCCACAGTCCCTGCTGAGAATGGACACAGAATTTTTAAAAATATAGATATGTTCTTGTTTCGGTTACATTCTCCTCAAAAGGTTGAGGAAGAGAGGAGGAGGAGAAGCACCACCAGTTTACTAAAGAATATAAGCTCCTTCAGTGGCCTTCTGCTGTGTATGCCTGGGTACACTTCCCTTCAATCCAGAAGACCAAGGGCGCTGACCAGACGCCAGCTTTGTTTGCCCTGGGTCATGGAGTGCCAGAATATTCTTAGGGCAGAGCTGTTTTGGGGGTCTACAGCAAGGAAAACAGTCCTGGATGCCCACATATTTGCGGCGTGACACGTGGCCTGGAAGCCGGTCACACAGATTGCAGTAGCTGCCTGGTTTGTTTCCCAGGAAAGATGTCTTCATGAGATATTCTTAGGGATGAACTGCAGTGATTGCAGTGAGTGACATGCTCACTGCTGATGATAACAACCACCAAAGCTTCACAGGATCCTGCTCCACAACCCCTCCAAACTCCCCTTTGACAGAGGCCTGCCCTAGCACCTTGCCTCTAGCAGACCGGGGACTTGATAGGGCTGAATTCGGGCAATGATGTTCTGTTTAGAGACAGATTTGGGGGCTGCCTTGATGTTCTGTTCAGGGATAAGAAGCAATATGGATTTGGACTGAATGGCTGCTCTGGTACATGTTTGAGTTAAAAGCAAAGTAAATGAGAAAATACCCCATCTCATCAGTGACACCCAGGATCAAAAGACACATGTGCAGGGGGCTGGAGCAAAAAGGTGTGGGAAAATGAAACCGACTAGGAAAACGGCTCTGTTATTCCTCTTGTCTTAGAAGAGGGCACCAAAATCACAGGTAGGTAGCAACGTTATGGATGTGGTTGTCTACACGGAGGTAGGATTTGGTTAGAACATAAGGACTCTGTTGTAATAAATAACAGAAGGGAGGTTGTAAGGCAGAGGTCTCCGGGGATCCCTATGTATCAGGTACTGCTTGTTGAATTACTACCTGCATAACCTTTTAAAATAAGTAAGCACAGATTAAAAATGACACAGGCAAATCATGAAAATCTCCAGCAATGAACAGTGAATATGCACACAGTAGGCAAAGTCTTTTAGGTCTTTTAAGAAAGAAACTGTGCATAGGAAGACCTAGAAGGCTGTAGACATGTGATGCATATTTTAATTTGTTGTGTATTTTCCCCTGAACCTTTTAGGGCTCACTCCAGAGTCTAACCCACTGCGCTAGTCGCCTACCAACATACTGGTTTATGGCTCCCTCTGGTGGCACAGAGTTAATCTAGTTACACTAAGAAAACTCTTCGAACCCTGTTACCCTCAGAGTTGAGCTAAAGATTCGGATAGGCTTTTCCTATAAACCCATAACTTGTCACTGAGTGAAGAGACAATGAACACCTAACTATATCTCCATTCATGTTTCTTGTAAATGATTCAGAAAGCAATCTGGGATCTTGAAGTTCCACAGTAATATTCATTGAACTTCTCTATCCATTAAGAATAGTGAATGCAGAGGAAGTCTTCCTCTGATTATTTGAAAGACTTTGGGGAAAAAGACAGACGTGAATGTCAAAGTTCACATGTTAGAGGCACAACTCCCAAGACAAATCCTGACATTCAATTTCGCACACTTTGGAGAGAGCATCTCGGGATGGATGTGGGTTGGGTCAGGGGGCCCAACAGGTCTGTGTAACTGTAACTGTGAACAAGGGGAAGAGGATAGGGCAGGGAGTGGACCAGGAAACATTCCTATCAGTCTAGAAAGGGGAGTGATCACTTGCTTTGAGCTTGAACTCAGTCTGCTGCTGCTGCTGCTGCTGTGCACTGAATTTACTATAAGTAAATTCACATTCACCAAGTAATGTACTCTAACTCATGTCACAAAAAGGTGTTAGGACTCTGCAAAGATTTCTCACAAGGAATAAAAATGTATGGGCTTTAAATGTCTGCTATAAACTCTGCAACTTGAAAATAGTCATGTTTTTAATGGAAGGATTTGAAATAGTGACAAAAGTCATTGAGAAATTACTCTAAATATGTTTGCCTATTTTTTTGTATTTTCAATGTCTTTAAACTCTCACATTATTGATTTATCTTAGTATTCTAAG